ATTTATTTATTGTTTTCAAGAGATTCTTTTTCATGTCTTTTGAGAGCAACTGTCCCGATTTGTTCCTAATAGTTAGGGAGGAATTCCCTGTGACATCTGATAGTCTCCCCCAGCACTTGGCATCATGGTTGTCATGGTTACGCTGGCTGTTATCACTTATGCTCTAATGTCCTACACCAGGAAAGTGGTAACTGGACGACAAGGTTCTTTACTATGAGAGGACTGGGTTGGTTTAATTTTGTAGTCCTAACATCGTGTACAGCAGCGATTCCCAGCCCTCCTAACGCTGCGACCCCTTGATACGGTTCCTCATGTTGTGGTGACCCCCAGCTGTAAAACTATTTTCATTGCTACTTGGTAACTGTAACTTTGCTCCTGTTAGGAATTGTAATGTAAACATCTGATATGCAGGGTGTCTGATATGCCACCCTTGTGACAGGATCCTTTGACCTCCCCTCCCAAAGGGGTTGTGACCCACAGGTTGAGAACCACTGGTCTGCAGCATCTGGCATCTGATAGCTTCTAAGCAGATGTTTATTTTCAGGAAATATGGCTGACTGTTGTAAAACACACCACAGAGTCACTGTATGTATTTCCCTTACTTCTAATATTCTTTTTTCCCCTACTAGTTTCAGTATTCTTAGACAAAAATGTTAGATAATTTGCAGCATAATGGCACTACCTCCTATGTCTCAATCATTATGTATATTTATCCTTTTTCCTTAATCATACAGCCTTGCTCTGTTGCCAGGGCTGGTCTTGAAGTCCTGTGCTGAAATGATCTTCCGCCTCCCGCATGTTAGTACCACAGCTGTGCACTGCCACATCTGGCTTCCACATTTTGCTTTGTAAAACACAATGGCTTTCCTTTAGCATAGGCTCTGTCTTTTGTGTCTCAAGTTCAGACATTATCCTGATTCCTGTGTGGACTGCGTGTTATCTTCCGTTCTTGCTGGCTTTGTCTGCCATCTCCTGCTTGTGCTGAACTGTTTCCATGAGGGTTTTCTGTCTTAGACTCAGCAGTTCATCTTCAGTGGAGATTTCCTCTGTGGTCCCAGAGTCCCCTGGACAGAGAAAATATCTCTCGAGCAAAAGTTTAGGCTTTCTTTTTAGCAACATAGGGAAACCATTGATCGGGAACTACATTTTATATCTTTTTTTAATTTGAAAGTTCCTGTATTACATAGATAGTATAAATTCAAAATTCTAAACCACAGAGGGGAAATCCTGGGGATGCAGATCCGTAAAGGAGAGTCTCACCCCCTCACCAGGAGCCCGGAACAAGGTGCCCCCTGCCACCTGCCTGTGTGAAAGCTTGCCTTTCCTTCAAGCCAAACTTTCACTTGAAAGGCTGGGGCTTCTCTGAAGGTCTCGGTTCCCAGTTCCCGTTCTGCACTGCATCTCCCACAGCCAGGCCTGGGTTTGAAGGACCCGCTGCATCAACATCTCCTGCTGTGTCAGCACCTTCTGCTTCCTGCATTGCTTCCCAAGTGGCTCTCCACGCCTGGCCTCTTCCCATTCAGTCTATTGTAAACTCCATTTTGAGGATGTCTGCTGCACCTTTGATATGCTCCTCAAAACTCCCCCTTGGGATCTGTGGGAGGACTCTAGAGGAAATCTATCCTGGTTAGTTTTTTATTATCAACTCACCACAGCCTACTTCATCAGATTGACCTGTGGCCATGCTATGAGAGAGTGTTTTGATTGACGTGTGTTTGGGGAGCAAGCCCACTATGGGCAGTGTCGTTCTTAGGCAGGTAGATCTGGGTTGTCTAAGAAAGTTAGTTGAGCATGAGACAGTAGCAGCATTTCTTCATGCTTTCTGTTTGAGTTCCTGCTCTGACTTTCCTCGATGATGGATTGTGACCTGGAAGTATAAGCCCTATAAACCCCTTTCTCATCCACGTTGCTGTTGGTGGCAGTGTTTATCAGAGCAACAGAAAGTGAACTAGAACAAAAGGATTTAGACTGCCAAGGGACATTCTGAGATGATGTCCTTGCTTTCATTTTTTATTAAGAAAAATATTTCAGATTGGGATCATGACACCTAATTCTTCAACATCAATTTGCTGTGTTGGGCGAATCCTATAACCTGTGCAGTCTGCGGATTCCTTTTCTTTTAAATGAAGTTAATAAAAATTGAGAACACAGTTGTGTGTCTCCCTTGGTAGGGATGTTTTACAGTCAAGCAGTTTGGAAAAATTAAAATGAAAGCATGGTATAATTACTAAATGGGCTTGCCCCCTCTGACACTTTAGGGTAGCATTGTCCCAGAACTCCTTTCTAGTGGTGTCATGACTGGTGTCCCCTTTCCTCAATCTGTCCTCGCCTCCTATCATTGTGTCTCTGACACCATTGGTTTAACTTATGACAAAGTGATGTGCTGCAACCCTTGAGTTTCGGCTTCCTGAGCACAGTGATATTGTGACTCTGTCCCTCAGCCTTGCCGCATGGTCCTTGAACATTGCTTGTTCCCTTCTGGAGAACATGTGTTAGCAGCTTTGGTCAGCAATGAAGTTGCACTGTTTTGGGCTAAGGTCTTTCTAGCATTTACTGTGTTCTTTTGCTTTGGTGACCAGGTCTCCATTGCAGTTACATGTCTTACTCAAGCTACAGGAAACCTTTGAATGTATATTAACAGCAGCACTTGGATTCCTATTAAGAATTTTTACAGTCTGACCTCAGACTACCCACCTTCTTACTGTTATTGGAACTTTAGTTTGAACAAGCTGTGTCATATAAGGGACCACAGACTCAGCAAATCCAGCCATGTAATGATAGACCAACCAACTCTGCAAGGCGGGGAGAGAGTCTGGAATTTATTCTCTTTATATTTGCATCCAAGTTCTCCGCCAGAGCATTAACTTTGCTTCAGGTCAGATGAAGTCATCATTTGAGCTAGGATTATCATTGGTTCAATCACTTGGGCAAGGTTGAGTTTGTTCAACCAAGCCCTGAATCTAATTCAGTTCACAAAAGAGCATGCAAGTATATAATTTTTGTCCTAATACCCAAGAGAAAAAATTGAGCAGACAGAGTGAGGATTCAGAGAAAGTAGGAAGTTAAGATAACAAATATTTGCAGGGGGAAATCAGTGGAAGAAAGAAACGATTTGTGTCTTCGATGGTTTTGTAGTTTACTGCCTAGAAGAATATGCGTGATTCTTAAATTAGCATGTAGATTTTCAGACGACTCTCCTTTATTTTCAAAGCTAGGTCATGCAGGGCTCACCGTGGTCTCTGACTGAATTCTCCAACCTACACCATGGTTTGGAGTTGCAGACTTCTCTGTTCTCGGTTCTCGGTAGCATTGCCTGCACACACATGTGTAAATTTCCATTTAATTCACGCTCCTCCCTTTGTTCACTTAACGTCAGTCCATAAAACCAATTGCTAGGTCTTCCGACAGCTAAAGTGGTTTGAAGATCAGGCCCTGTCACGTCCCCTGCCTGCCGTCTGTCTCAGACGTGAACTGCACAAAGCAATAGTCTAAAAGAGAAAGGGAGGGCCTGGACTGTGAGAAAATATCTGTGAGAATAATACCCTTGGGCTAAGAAAGGGTTGTTAGGTTGATTATATAGTCAAGTGGGAACAGGATTGAGAGAATCAACACTGAGTCCCAAGAATCCCGAGTAATCATGGGAGGTTGTGGAAGAGGCCATGCTTATGGCCAAATTAATATACCTGATTCTCGTGTTATCATACACATTTTTAATCAGTGCAACTTTATTTTCAAAGCTGGGGTGCTGCAGCTCCAATAGTCACCATAGTCATGTACCTGGCCGAGCTTTCTGCCCTGTGCCGTTATTTGTAGTCACAGACTGCCAGCTTCACATACCTGTATCTGCACACTGGTGTTAGTGTCCTTGTGTGGAGTTCTTCCTGTGCATGGCCTCCTACTTGTTTGGGGCTTTATTTGCATTGTCTGGACTCCTCTTAGACCTGTAAGTAGACATTATCTCCAGTTTATAGACTTATAAATGGGGAGGCTGTATTTTTTACCATGCTGCTTCTTTACGTGTATTAAATCCCTTGCCAAGGACATCAGCTAGAGACCGCCAGCTGACGGTCCAGCCTCGACTCTGTTATGTATCCGTAGGATCTTGGGCACATTTCCCATCTGTTTGAGCCAGTTTTCTCCTGTGATGTTCCCGAGCTACAGATGTAGTATCTGTGTTGCAGTTGAACCCATTGGGGCTGGCTCCTCACAGTCCATTGATGGTCTTTGCATCGGCGTTCAGCTGTGGTGTCCTGTAATGGTCTCAGTTTGCTGTCAAGAGAAGCCTCTTTGATTAGAGGTGGTAGCTACACTTACCTGTGGGTGTAAGGATAAGATTTAGAATGTAGCTACAAAATTGTGCTCGTCTAGCAATGAGGTGGAAGTAGATTGTCTTCTGAGATCCAGGAACTCAACAGCCCTGGGGAGGTTGGCTAGGTTTCCAGGACCAGGCATAGTTCTTCTCTTGTTGATTGGCCTGAAGTCCATTTAAACAGCTGTTGGTTTGCACCAATAGGTGAGTGCCACTGTTGTACCTTGAGGGATAGCTTGTCATTCTGGCCATTGGTAGGGTTTCTAGGTGTCACAGCTGAGTAGCTCATTTTGCCTTTCTTCTCTGGAAGCTTACATAGTACCTTTTGGTAGTACGGAAGCTAGTCTGTAGGAAGGAGACTTTCAGGTTAGCTCTGGCTCAAATAGTCCGTGTCTTGTGTCCTAAGTGTGCCCCAAGTGCATAATGTCTTCAGCAATAGGGTCATTCCTTAATCCTTTGAGAGGACGCAAGGGCAGCAGCCATAGCCTATATGTTTTGGAGAGTCATTTGTACAACCTACCAACAACTTGAAAAGAGGTTTCTCATGACTGGTACTGGGGTTTTTGTCAAACTCACATGCATAAGTTGGCCCTCAAGCCTTACTCTATAAAGTGCAAACCTTGGTGTGAGTGAAGCATCCTGACATCTAGCTGCCACTGACTGATGTATACCTTGATATTGTTTATTTTAGGATTCTGAGAAACGAACCCCGCTCCATGTGGCTGCATTCCTGGGAGATGCAGAGATCATCGAACTCCTGATTTTGTCAGGTAAGTAACTCCTGTATTCAAAAGCCAACTCTCATGGAGGCTTAAAAGACCGATTTACTAGACGGCAACTGCAATGAACAGAACAGAATCACTTTGCTTTGCTCATCAAAGTTTATTTGGTCAGCAATTGATCTGTACATGAAATACAATAAAAGAAATTGTTGTTGGCAATGATTCTTGAATAAGTGAATATTACCTTGAATGTCTGATTCCTATCTGTCCTGTCAGACTTGGCATTATAGACAAATTTAGTACATTTGGATATCTTGATATTTTTTAATTGTAAGAAAAGAAAACCAGTTAAAGTCTACATGAACACACACACACACACACACACAGACACACACACACACACACACACATATATTGTATGAGTTTATACATAATGTATAGCACAAAGTATGCATATAAGGGGACATACATCATATATTTAAATTGTACTACAAAATAATACTTGTTTCCTTATCTGCAACGATGACTTTAATAACAGTGTGAAAACAGATGGAAGGGGCCATGCCAGGTTCTAAATAGAGGTTTTCTCTGAGTAGGCAGGTAGAGTGTTGAAATATCTTCATGGAAAGGCATAAAATGGACTACTACAACTCTATAAGATATTTTATATTTTCAAAAATTGGGTGCAAATATGGGAATCATGTCAGATCTAAACTCTGTATTTACTGGTCTGTGAGATTCTTTTTCATTCACTGTGCTTTTAATGTTCCATCAGATTGAAAGATGTGAATGCTTTCATTTCTAGACTCCTGTGTGTTCGGTACATCTCACAAACAGGTTTCCAAAACCATTACATGCCATTACATGGTTTTTCCTCTAAATGTTTGCTAGGCAAATCCCTTGCACACTCCTTGATGTAGATTGTATGCAGATTTTGCTGTGATTGTATGCAGGCCTTGCTCTAGATTGTATGCAGATCTTGCTGTGATTATATGCAGATCTTGCTCTAGATTGTATGCTGATCTTGCTCTAGATTGTATGCAGGCCTTGTTCTAGATTGTATGCAGGCCTTGTTCTAGATTGTATGCAGGCTTCACTGTAGATTGTACGTAGGCCATTCTGTAGATTGTACGTAGGCCATTCTGTAGATTGTATACAAGCCATGCTATAGACTGTATGCAGGCCTCACTGTAGATTGTAAGCAGGTTGACTGCTTTTCCTTCTCCTGTATTGTTTGGAGAGATTAAAATCTGGAGGAAATGCTGTCGCCAACCAACTAGGCAAAAGGCCTGTCCTAAGTGTTTGCCTTTGTCTGCGGTAGCAAAGGGAAATGCTAACATTCTAGAGTATGCAACGCAAAGACGAGAGAGGTGCATGTACTCAACAGATGTGAAAGGCACCGTGGTGAAGACAGCTGTGCCGTGTGCGCAGGAAGGCTCGTGTGGTTCTCTGGTTCAAGGTGTTCCATTCTTCGGGCGAGCTTCTCCAGGAAACAAGTATAATGTATGTGAGAACAAGTGTGCCTTAGCAGGGTTAGATTTGTGGGCATTTCTTAGTCTCAAGAGCAGATCTTTCTTTTGACAACCCGAGGGTGTTATTGGCTGTGTATGAAACAAGCATGTTTTGTGTGGTATGGGCACAGACCATAGCTAAGAGCCAGTGCATACCTGGGCAGTTACCCTAACAGTTGAAATTTGGTCCATGGAAAATTGTAGACAGAATCAATGTGTAAAATAAGAATCATGTGATAACGATACCAAATGATCCGAAGCAACAGCATCATTACCAAGACAAGCATTCCCTTATCTGAAAGTCTAAAGTCCAGATGTTCCAGTGCTATCATGATGCCACAGGTGGAGAATTTCACATCTGATTTGATGGGAAATTCCACACCTGACTTAATGGGATGAACCGCCATCAAAATGCAGATACGGTAAAATATGTCTAAGGTATATACAAAGCAGAGGAGAACTTCATGTGTAGTCTTGGGTCAAATAGAACAAAACCCTTTCCTCCAAATTCAAAATCTGCAGCACTTCTGGGCACAGGCAGTTTGGATAGGGATGTTCAACCTGTGTTAAAAGATGTCTCGGAGGCTGCGGAGATGGGCCAGTAGTTCAGAGCACCTGATGCAGTTCCAGAGGACCCGAGTTCAATTACCAGCACCACATCAGGTAGCTCACAACTGCCCGTAATTCCAGCTCCAGGGGATTTGAGGTACCTACACACACACACACACACACACACACACACACACACTTTAGAAGGTGTATCTTAGGGAGAGGACAAAAGGCAGGAGACTGGGAGAGGGGAGTGACTGAGAACAAGAAAAGCTGACCCCGAGTTGATGCTCCTCCGGCCCCAGCTTTGAAAGGGAAGCTCTTAATCCTGCATCACGAGGGTCACCCATGTGGGACCAATGTTCCTCGATATCACCTTATGTCACCTTCACGTAGCATAGTCTTCTCGGTGTCTCTGTACCCGTGGCTGATCCCGGAGAGCCAGGAGAGCTGTTGGGGTGTCTTGATCTGCGCACCTGTTTGGTCTTAGAACTGCTGATCTGTTCATCTCTTTAGTGCAACTCTGGTTCAGTTTGCTGCAGTTCCCCTCTCCCTCCCCTGCTTCTGCCCACCACACTGAGAAAGTTCTTCAGCCACTTTATTCAACAGAGGCCAACGTTTGCAGTTCACGTAGCTTTCATTTTCCCCAAAAGGACTTTTATTCCATTTGTATTTTATATCCCTAAAGAAATGTCATATGACTGCAGTGATTTCAGTTCTGAGATCTCATCTGGCAGCTGACCCTTTGGGGAATCCAACCGCTCCGTTTCCTCATTTCATAATGAATGAGGTGCTAATGATTCCCATGTTGGACAAGTAATTTAGCCTTTCCAGAAGAGCTGGTTACAGCTGAGCTCCCTGTGGCTGGGTAAACTCCCAGAGCATGCTGGAACCAAAATTCACTAAGTTACTACCGACTATGTTTCCTGTTAACCGGGTGAACGGAACCAACCGCGAGTGTCTCTGAACAGACGCTGTGAGGGGGAGGGGCAGTGCCTTGCAGGTTCCTTCCACTTTCTTATCACTGCCTGTCGCTTGGGCTTGATTCCCTCATCTGGCTGGGCTTCTGTTTGGAAACTGGCCAGGTCAGGATCGAGGCGGTTGTGGGACGCCAGGAGGAGCGCTGAGGTCAGGGGCGAAGTAAGGAAAGCAGAGCTGACCGGAAATGGCCACAGAGAAATATCTTACAGCAAAATTCAGCAAGAACAAGGGTGATGGACTGAATCTTGGGTTGGAGAAAGAAACGGGAGAATTTGTGCTCTAAAGTGGGCGCTTGTCAGGTCTAACTACTAAATACAAAATACACTCACTGCAGGGTCTGGGGAGATAGCTCAGTCAGTAGAATGCGTGCTGGCCTTCAGCAGTTACGTAAATAACTGGGCGTGGTGGTGTGTCCGTGTCACCCCAGAGTGGAAGAAGTGCAGACATCAGGATCCCGGGTTTGCTGGCCAACCAGGACAGCCTCGGTGGTGAGTCCCAGGTCCCAGGGAGAGAACTTGTCTCAAAAACCAAGGTAGACAGAAGGTAGACCTCAGAGGTTGACCTGTGGTCTCCACACATACGTGCTGGTACACACACACACACACACACACACACACACACACACACACACACACACAGAGGCACATGCACACACAAACATCTAGGTGCCTGCACAGACACAAAATAAATAAATAAATACATTTACTAGAATCTATGCCACCAAACAGGTGATACTTGTGCAAAATGATTTCTTGTGGGTTTTTTTTTTTTTAATTGTGGTAGTGTGTGGTTCTTTGATTCCTTCATGCCTAACAGATATTCATTCTTTGTGGATGGACTTGATTTTTTTTAAAATATCTGGTAAAATTTGTGATTTAACAAAGCAGAGCTGGTCAGAGACACACATCTGGTATAGTATTAAACAATAGATTCCTTCCGTTGAGTGTATAAGCGGCTTTAGTGGCAACTTAAGAGTTTGAAAAATGTTGCGGGCAATTGCCATGTACATGCCGTTGTCACCTGTGTTTCCAAGGTGACGGGACCCCTGAGCTGCGGGAAGATCCAGTCCGTTTGACAGAAAGAAAAATCAAACAGCAATGCAAGTGCTCTATATTATAATCATATTTCATATACTCTTTCTTGAATGTTTACCTGCTTCAATAAGCTGACTGCCCAGGCTTTGGTCAGTCTTCCTAGATGACGAGGCTGAAAGAACAGAAATGCCACCTCTGGAAAAGATGCCAGAGTCTCCTTTACTCCCCATCCCTTGGGACTAGAAAGGAGAGGTAACAGGGACGAAATGAAGACCGCGCTTAATTGGCAGTTAGAATTGCACTTGATAATTTTCTAAAGAGTAACATTTAATGCCCATTTTCATGATTAAGGACGTAGTGTCCTTGGGTGAAAGAGCATTTGCCTTTGGATCATGAGTGGTGCAGACTGTGCCCTTCAGTGCACAATAGTGCTGACAGGGTTTCCTTTGGAAAAATAAGTTATGACTATTCAATAAAGCCCAGACCATCTGCCCCCCGCCCCGAGAGGTAGACAAGACTCTCAAAGGTGTTCAGAGGAAGAGGATGGGGAACCGAGGGGAGATGGCAAGCTCGAAGATAACATTGCTGTTTTCATGGCTCCTGGTGGGGAGAAGGGGCTGTTCCTGGCGGCTTCCCAGCTGGCTTCCTGGCAGAGCCTGGGTGTCTGAACGGAGGGCTTGTACAGCGACTAAGAAGCAGTTTCTTCCGTTCCACTCATGAATTCTCCACTTCTCAAGCACCGTCGAGGCTGCACCTGACGGAGCACATGCTGGTAGACACCATGGCATCGCCTAGTAAACCATTTGCGTCCACACTATGAGCAATTCCATCCCCTCATATACCCTAGAGAAACACACATTCACACACACACACACACACACACACACACACACACACACACACACACACAACTTTCACATGCTAACACACATCACTCACATACATATACATATACACACACATCTCTCACACATACACACTCTCACACACATCATTCACACACATATACTCACACACATACACACACTCTCACACACTCATACACACACACCAAGTACATACACCACACACAGCAATAACCATTTCATCAATTTGGCAGGCCTTATGAAGTAGTACGTTAACTTTGCCTTCATTTCTTTATCCCAATGAATTTTTAGTATCTCTCATATGTCTATCATTTGGGTATTCTTCATGCATCAGCCTTTTGTGTTTTAAAAAAAATGCAAAATGTATTCTCTCCAACTGTGAATAGGATGGGGCGGGGAGGCCTGCACGATATTTGCTACCTCAATACCAAAGAAAAGCTTTAAAAATAATAACCATGCTTCACTAGAGAGATGTGATTTAAGCACTGTGTGCTAACTTGTACATATCAATGTATAAGAAAAGGTGGGTGATTTTAAAAGAGTTGACTAGCTCCCAGAATGTTCTACTAGGAGCTATAGGGATTAAATGTCATTCCTGTCTAAACCAGAAAGCTGTGTCGTAACCAATAGACATTCATACTCTGCTGGTGCCAATACTTAGGGAATAAGATCTCAGATTTCTTTTTTAGTAATGGGAATTTTATTTGAAAATTCACCAATTTTCCTGTTTTAATCACATCTTGGTTTCCTTAGCCTGAGGATTCAATAATTCAATAACTTGAGTCTCTCTTACTTTTAAAAATATGCTTGATGAGGCTGGAGGGAAACCCCATCCGGTATGAGTCCTTCCTGCTCACCCAGAGGACCTGAGTTCAATTCCCAGCACCCACATGAGGTGATTCACAGCTGCCTATAATTCCAGCTCCAAGGGATCTGACACTCTTTTGTCCTCTGTGGGCTCCCACACACATGTGGACAAGTTTTCCTCCCACCCCCCAACTACTTTTAAGAAAGAAAAAGAAAGTGTTGCTTGTGGGGCAGGCCAGATCCCTTAGTAGATAAAGGTGTTCACTAGCAAGTACCAAGTCTGACAATTGAAGTTTTGTCTCCAGATTCCAGGGACTTACATAGTGGAAGGCAGGAACTCTGACCTCCACATGTGTATACATGCAAATAAATGTAAAAAAAATGAAAATTAAGAAGTGTGCATTTGGAGCCTGGAGAGATGAATTGATCAGCAGCTCCATGCCTTAGAGCACTTGTTGGCTCTTGTAGGAAGCCCAGGTTTGGTTCCCGGTACCCACACAGTGCAGACAGCCATCTGTGTCTCCAGTTCTGGGGGGTCTAGAACGCCCTCTTTTGACTTCTGTGAATAACAGGTAAGCACATGGTGTACATGTATACATGCAACCAAAACTTGAACACATAAAATAAAATGAATTTAAAATTTTTAAATGAAAATTTAAGAGACTGTGCTGGTTTGTACATTTCATAGTTGACAGTTGACTGTGTTCCACCCTAATTTTCACTGCCTTTGGAAACCTTAGCCATAGACTTAGGGAGCAGATGAGCTATTGAGGTGATTTTTCAAGAAGATAGCTAATAATTTTCTAGTGCTTTGTGATTTATGAATTATCCTCATGTCTAGCTGATATTCCCAAGCACCCAATAAAACCAACAAACCTGGCAGTATTGGTGTGTGGTTAGACTTATCCTACAAACTAGAAAGTTTTGGTGTGTGGTTAGCCTTATTCTACAGACTAGAAAGTTTTGATGTGTGGTTAGCCTTATTCTACAGACTAGAAAGTTTTGGTGTGTGGTTAGCCTTATTCTACAGACTAGAAGCTTTGAGTCCTTAGATACTGGCAGCTGAAAACAAATGCAAATCCCAGGCTTTGTCCACAAATCCCATGTCTTTCCAACCCATTTCACTTCAGAACATTTAGCTCAGGGCTTCTTATTTTATTGCGGTCTTCATACAGGTAAAGGACTTTAAACCCTTTTAGACAAGATGGAGTTAGGAAAATTGGCTTTCAAGGTATTTTAACTTGGTTTAAAACTAAGTTCGTCAGTGGCTCTCAACCTGAACATTATGTTACAATAACCTTGGGCTCTAAATAAATAAATAAATAATAAATAAATAAATAAAAAATACTTGTGTCTGTGATAACTCAGACCAAAGGAATGAGATGAGGTGCGTATCCCCTTTGAGGGGTTAGACTGTTTTTTCTGATGAATGCTGTTGATGGTATTTGTCCTCAGTTAAAGAAAAATACTATCAGTTCTATGATTCATTATTTCTTTTAGTCCATGGCTTAAATAGTAGCTCACATTTACCCACAGAAGTCTCCTGCTCCCTTTCTAGAAGTTTCTGTGTTTAATCTCTGCGTCCACTTGACTCATGTTCTGAGCTTTTGTCCCAAGGCACCTACTCGTTTCTTCCATTTCCTGCCCCTTTAGTTGCCTTTATTCATGCCTCCAATCTCCACCCTCATGAGGTTTTTCACTAAATTAAAACCAAAATGGGCGCCTCTCACCACACCTTTAGATACCCTCCTCCCCTTTTCCCTTCACAGCCCTTTTATAAAATAGTCTCTCACTGACAGGAGGACTTTCCAAAACCCTGAACCAAAGACTTGCATAGGGTGTTTCCATTGTCCAGATGGAAAGGCTTGGTGGGCTTACTCCTGTGGAAAGTCATGGGAAGGTCAAGGGAACAAGGTGTGTTCTGTTTTCCTGGAGTCCATTTGTATGCAGCTTCTGCTCAGTGCCATGACCTGGCTTCAGTGAACCGAGTATAGAGCGTGTCTCTTGGTGTGAGCTAGTTTCAGCTTGGGCTTGAACCTGTCTGTGTCTGCTCCATGACACAAAGAAGTTGGGAGCAATCTGCACAGGCCTCCTGTCCGGAAACTTCATGGAATAAGGATTCTGGGATTAAAATACCTGGCTAGTACTAGAGGGATGGTTGGGATATGAGGGAAGGTAGATTTCTGTTGGGCCCTTTATCCACATGAAATCTTGTTCAATTGCAGCTGATGCAGAGAAAAGGAGACCTGCTGGTTACACCAGGCAGACAGGAGTGACACGCGGCCCTTGACTCCTCTCTGCCCCTAACCTGTGCTGTTTGGTTGCAGGAGCCCGAGTCAATGCCAAGGACAACATGTGGCTGACCCCGCTGCACCGCGCGGTGGCTTCCAGAAGTGAAGTAAGTGATCTCCTCAGTCAGTCTAACCACTCCTACTGTCCGTAGAAAAAGAGTTCTTCCCACCGAGTCCAGGATCGTCGTGGGTAGAGAAAGCCTGTTTCTTCTAGTGCAAGCGGGTTACCCAAAGGGTAACAAAGCTCTTTGTGTGTCTTGCTCAGGTCCAACATGGTGCAGTAGGAGAGTCTTAGTTAAATTTTTATCGCTGCAATGAAACACTGATCAAAAAGCAAGTTGGGGAGGAATGGGTTTTGTCTTAGGGTTTCTATTGCTGTGAAGAGACACCATGATCACGGCAACTCTTACAAAGAAAACATTGAGCAACTCTTACAAAGAAAACTTTGAATTGGGGTGGCTTGCTTATAGTTTTAGAGGTTCAGTCCATTATCATCATGCCAAGGATGGTATAGAGATGTGGTGCTGGAGCTGAGAGTGCTACATCTTGGAGTCAACAGGAAGTCGACTGACTGTCACACTGAGGGCAAAAGAGACCTCAAAGCCCGCCACCTTCCTCCAACAAGGCCACACCTCCTAATAGTGCCACTCCCTTTGGGGGCCATTTTCTTTCAAACCACCACAGGTTTACTTGGCTTACACGTCCACATTGTTGTTCATCACTGAAGGAAGTCAGGACAGGAACTCAAGCAGGGCAGGAACCTGGAGGCAGGAGCTGATACAGAGGCCATGGAGGGAGCTGCTTACTGGCTTGCTCCTCATGGCTTGCTCAGCCTGCTTCCTTATAGAACCCAGGACCGCCAATCCAGGTTTGGCCCCACCCACCATGGGCTGGGCCCTCCCTCATTGATGACTAAATGAAAAAATGCCTTACAGCCGAATCTCACGGAGGCATTTCCTCAACTGAGGCTCCTTCCTGTCTGATGACTCTATCTTGTGTCAAGTTGACACACAAAACCAGCCAGCACAAGGAGGCATCATGGCCATCCAGGTCGGACAGCTTTGACTTTAGAGCATTTTCAGCCTGGAACGGAAGGAACATAGCAAGCAGATCTGTGCAGTGCCAGAGTGGGATGGGAGGAGAAAGCAGGCAAGCAGGCGTGCTGGACCACGGCATATCTCCCCAACGGGAGGTCAGCCGATCCAGTCCTTAAAGGACAAGCAGGACCCAGCAGGCCAGGAGGAGGAGGGAGGGCCGATGCAGAGGAGAAGCAGCAGGCCACGAGCCCAGGTCAGGAGGAGCCTCCTGGAGCAGAGAGAGTAGTGCCCTGTCAGTCAGCTCATTGGGCTGCCAGAGAAACTACCATCCTGTGAGCATCTGGCAGTGGTCTCAGCAGACCATGCTTCAGAAAGACCACCATGGAGAAGGCCGAGGGGAAGCAGGGGAGGACCCAGTCTTTTCAGACATAGAGGCAAACCTGACAGGATTTTGGCACCTTAGGAGAATGAGGTGGGAAGAAAGCTGGCAGGTGAATAGAGAGGCCCTTGGCTGAGCAGGTGCAGGTGGGGTGGGGTGGGGAGTGGGTGAGGGGAGCTGGAGTCCGGGAAGCTGGCTCATTCTTTTCAGGATACAGCCTGGGAAATATGTCCCTGGAATGTAAGCTCCCTGGGGTCAGGGAGTCTATTGATTTATTATTTATTTTATTCTGTGATGGACTCCAAATCTAGACTGTTCTAGAAATAGAGAGTGGTACCCAAAACCGAGTTTGTTGCTGAATGCCGGAAATATGTGATGATAGCAAATGCACTATCATTATTTATACAAGTCTGGACCTCGGGGATGAGGAGGGTGATCATGGAAACCATGACACCGTGCATTGGCCAGTTCAATGGGAGGGAGGCTCGTGGATAGAAAGGGAAGGCCATGTGGGAGCGGGGCTGGGAGGGACCCAGCGAATCTCAGCCTGGCCAGAGAGAAAGGTGCTGGGCATGGCGTGTGTGGGTAAATCTGTCCCGTGGAGTTGCCCCTCTGGTGCTGGAGGAGGTGGTGTTCTCCGGGGACACTGAGGAGCGAGGCAGCGGGTGTCACAGCTCGTGTGAAGGCTCCTGCCCCGGCCTCTGCACTTGCTCTTTCTCTTTGGCAGCTGTGTGGGAATTTCAGAATACACTTAGTATGTGGCAGTTCAGGATCGTTATCTCCCCCGTTGTTCCGGGTGTTTGGAATTGTTTCAAAGGGGGTTTGGCTGTATTCTCTTCCCAAAGAGCCCACGTGGGAGGAGGGAGGTAAAGCATCCCGAAGTGCCTCAGGCCCCGGAGAACTCACCTGATGGATGACTCCATGTTGCAGTTCTGTTGTGCCTGGGGAAACAGGCCCAGTGGCTGCTGAAGGAGGACACTAGCCTCAGGGCTAGCTTCTCCACAGGGGAGATGACTTGGTCCTTAGTAAATTTATTGTCTTTTTCAGTCTATGTATACATACATAGAGAGGGTCTTTTCTTCCTTAACTAGAGTGAGGTCTCTGTAGTTGAACGAATTTAGACACTTTCTATATATCATGTACTGTATATGCTGATGGAGCTGCGAAGGAGATCATATCTGTGGTCCCCAGCTTTAGGGGAGAGAGGGACATACAACACATGGTTTCAGTACCCCGTGACCTTGTTAAGTAGTCACCCCTACAAAAGCTTCGAGCCTCGAAACATGCATTTGCCACCAACCAGCAGGACACTGTCATTATATGTCTTGGTGTGTCTGACCCAGTCTGACCAATGACGGGCTGTTCAGTTCTTAAACTGCTGTGTCTATGAAAAGCACCTGGTCCTCCCTCAGCCAACCAGCAAGGATGTATGGGTAAAAAGAAAAAAAGTGATTGCAGATGACTCTTGCTGGGGAAGAACTAAATGTGAACTCACGAAAGACAATGCCTTTGTAGTGTCTGCCACAGTTGAATAGTTTCTGGAGTAAACTGGAATCTCTGGGTCTGTCATCAGAGTTGACTATTCACTGAACAGCTGAACTTGGGCTCATCTTGATACCGTGGAAGTCCTCAATTCAGACTCGTTTTTTCTTTTGAATTTGGTCCTCCTGCTACTCACTCTCCTGTGCCTCCCCTTACTGTCTGTGGGGTGGAGGGGAGTAGGGCCTAAGGGGAAAGGCCAGGGGGAGTTTGTTTGGTTTTTGTATTTGGCTCTTAGCACTCGCAAAAGAGGATGCTGAGTTTCGGTCTGAGCTGGCCCAGGCGTCCTTTCCTCAGACAGAAACTGTTAATGAGCGTGTAGTAAAAACAGTTTCTTCATCGAAAGGCTTCTAAACTCGGCAGCACCCCAGTATCATCGCCTGGCACATTTGGGTGTCCCAGGATCTAAACAATTCGGAACCAAACAGCATTGTCTCCCTGCCTGCTACCTAATGCCCCACTGGTCCCACCTTTTTTTTTTCTAGCTTTTCCCGAGGTGGTGGGGAAATGGAGAGACTTTTTCTTAAGTACTGGAGAAATGTGCTTTGTCACAGTAGCCAAGAGAGAGAAGCGAGACTTGAGACATCTGGAGAGAATATTCTGAAAGCCGTGAATGATTGAATCTGGTGTCTCCTGCCCAGTGGGTTCCTCTTGCTTCTTCACTTTGTTTTCTGGAATAGCGCGCCTGTGAAGAATAGAGTTAAAGGCACGCACGCCCGGAGTTGAATATGGGAAAGTTTAACATTTGTTTGTTGAGGCCCACTGGGTGGAAGGCATTGCCAGCCATGTTGGGGGGTCCTTCATGGAGCACACAGCATGGCCTCTGAGGTTGTGATGTCTGGGGCCTGCGGCGGCCTGAGTGTGAATGTGCTGGCACCTCACGTCTCCCCCTTCTGCTATGAGGAGCGGAGTGGCACTGAAGGGGAATTGCTGAACTTCTCACTTCCCTGTTCCCGAGACTGTGTTTGGGTTAGAAAAGTTAAAATTGTTTGCACCCTGTCTTTGGGGTGTTGGATTGAGGACATTGTGTTTTTCTAAATATTGCCGTTCTGAGAATTTGAGCCTTCACTGTGTGTGTGCTAACGGCCTTCTGAGCATTAATCTCCTGTAACCTCTGAGCCTCCGACATTGTATTATTATTGGTCATACTAACTTAGGAAGTATGGCCCCAGAGAAGTTAAACATGGAATAAAAGGTGTTACAGCCAGTAAGTGGTGTAGCTAAAGTTTTTCTGGTTCTGTTCAGCTCCTGTGGCCCTGCGGCCAGCTGCTTGGACCTAAGTAAACACACAGAGACTATATTACTTATAAACTGTATGGCTGTGGCAGGCTTCTTGCTATTGTTCTTTCTTTTTTTCTTTTTTTGATTTTTTGAGACAGGCTTTCTCTGGGTAGCTTTGGGCCTTTCCTGGATCTCGCTCTGTAGCCCAGGCTGGCCTTGGACTCACAAAGATCCGCCTGCCTCTGCCTCCCAAGTGCTGGGATTAAAGGCGTGCGCCACCACCGCCCGGCCCTAGTTCTTACATCTTAAATTAACCCATTTCTATTAATCTATACCTTGCCATGTGTCTTGTGTCTTACCAGTACTTTTACATCTCACTTCCTCTGTGTCTGGCTGATGACTCCTCACTCAGCTTTCCACTTCTCAGCAAAAAGAGTATCCTCTCTCTTTGTCCTGCCTATATTTCCTGCCTGGCTACTGGCCAATCAGCACTTTATTTATTAACCAATCAGAGCAACACATTCAGAGCATACAGAACATCCCACCGCAAAGTAGAGAAGAGTATGGTTGAGGACACTCCTTGCTCACACACCATGCACCACCGCCTCCCTCAGATCACATAAGGACCCTTGGATACTGTTTTGACCAGCAACCATCTGGTTTTGCCTTCTGTGTAGAAAACTTCTGACATTGGGCATAAAGATCTTTCTAGGGTTGAATGCTTTATCCCGACTTCCTGGAATGTAGATGGGTTATACTCAATTTACTGTGTATTGTTAAGTCTTCAGGGTGCTTGTTAAAAGATATTGTTCTAGATTCTCCCCAATGGCCCAGCTTGAGCTGATGGTTGGGCCTGGAAATCTTCATCTTATACAGAAAATTCTGATGCACGCCTCACTATGAGACCTGAGATTGGATACTAGGATTATTT